ATCTATCTATCTATCTATCTATCTATCTATCTATCTATCTATCTATCCCATCATAAATTCCAAACAGATACAAGTAGTCCTCAACCTAAGACCACAATCAAGCCCCAAATTTCCATTGCTAAACAAGACAGTTGTTAAGTGAGTTTTGTCCCATTTGATGACCTTTCTTGCCACAGTTGTTAAGTGAGTCATTAGAGTTGTTAAGTTACTAATATGGTGGTTAAGTAAATCTGGTTTCCCCATTGACTTTGCTTATCAGGAGATCACAAAAGGTGATCACACGACCTCAGGACATTGCGACTGTCATAAATATGAATCAGTTGCAAAGCGTCCCAGTTTTGATCAACTTTCCATGGGGATGCTGCAACGGTCTTAAGTGGGAAAAACAGTCAGAAATAACTTTTTTCAGTGCTGTTGTAACTTTGAATGGTCACCAAACAAATAGCTGTAATTTAAGGACTACCTATACATGTAGTCCTCGATTTACAACAGTTCACTTAGTGACCATTTGAAGTTACAACTGTACTGAAAAGGGTGACATGACTATTTTTCACAGTTATGACCTTTCTAGCATCCCCATGATCACATGATCAAAATTCGGATGCTTGGTAACTGGTTGTTATGGCCCGTCAGCAACCTGTGCAGGTAGTAGCTGATTCTGACAGCAAGGAGGCTGGTGTGGTGCTGCGCCAGCAGCCTGTGCAGCTGGCACTAAAGTCAGGCAATGAGGAGGCTGGAGAAGATGTGGTGCCAGAGGCGGGGATTTAGCCAGGGCCTTCAGAACCTCCAGAAGCTCCCTTAAGTGAAGAGGACAAAGAGGAGGAGCCTCTTCTCTATGCACAAGCGCGCAGAGCTGCCAAAAGGCAGGAGTGGCTCCTCAGGAGGAGGTCTCCTCGAGAGTAAGGCTTGGGGCTAATTGGCCACCCCCTTAGCCCATTTAAGGAGGAATGCCGACTGAAGCAATTTGCAGGGAACAACTTCGTTCACATACCTTCATGTCTTGTCTTGCTTATCTTATCAGCTTCCTGCAAATTGCTTCTGGGCATTCTGCCAACCACAGTAAGCTTTCAGTTATTATTCTTTGAATTCTTGGTGGCTGTTAATGCAATTAATTAACAGCCGTTGTTGTAAAAATTTGGTTTATTTAGTAAACTAAGGTTTGAACGGACTTTGTGTGTGCTGCGTTCTTTGGGGTCCGTAGCTGGGGCAGAACACTGGTCCATAATTATGACCATTGCTGTGTCCCGGGGTCATGTGATCCCCTTTTGCAACCTTCTGACAAGCAGAATCAACGGGGAAGCCAGATTCACTTCACTATCGGGTTACTAACTTATCAAATGCAATGATTCACTTAACAACAGAGGCAAGAAAGGTCGTAAAATGGGGCAAAACTCCCTTCACGGATGTCTCAGTTAACAACAGAAACTTTGGGCTCAATTGCGGTCGTAACTGGCGTACTACCTGTATTAAGAAGAAAGTGGAAAATATTTATCAATCGTTTCATTTGCAGGGCAGCCATTTGACCCTTTGAATGCCATCATTGCTTCCCTTTCCAAAATGGTCTGGACTGTGAGCTTTGGCGACCGCTCCCCTCTTGAAGACAAGGACAGCCAACAATTGACGGACGCCATTGAATCTTCCGTAAAATCTGGAGGGAGCTTTGTTTACGCTGTAAGCTATTCTTTACTTTATTACTATAACAGACATTTCTCCCCAAAGCTTTCGGAGAGCCATCACAATGATCTTAGGTGAACGTGAAAAGAATTGTGATCCCAAATAGAGTTTGTGATTGGAGTGGATCGATCACATGACCACAGGACACTGCAACCGTCAAATATATGAGTTGTAAGAATAGAATAGAATAGAATAGATACAGTAGAGTAGAGTAGAGTAAAGTAGAGTAGAATAGAACAGAATAGAATAGAATAGAGACAGTAGAGTAGAGTGGAATAGAATAGAATAGAATAGAATAGAGACAGTAGAGTAGAGTAGAATAGAATAGATACAGTAGAGTAGAGTAGAGTAGAGTAGAGTAGAGTAGAATAGAATAGAATAGAATAGAATAGAATAGAATAGAATAGAATAGAATAGAATTTTTTATTGGCCAAGTGTGATTGGACACACAAGGAATTTGTCTTTGGTGCATATGCTCTCAGTGTACATAAAAGAAAAGATACATTCATCAAGAATCATAAGGTACAACACTTAATGATAGCCATAGGGTACAAATAAGCAATCAAATCATACTAGGAAACAATAAATATAAATCGTAAGGATACAAGCAACAAAGTTACAGTCATGCAGTCATACGTGGGAGGAGATGGGTGATAGGAATGATGAGAAGAGTAATAGTAGTGCGGACTTAGTAAATAGTTTGACAGTGTTGAGGGAATTATTTGTTTAGCAGAGTGATGGCGTTCGGGAAAAAACTGTTCTTGTGTCTAGTTGTTCTGGTGTGCAGTGCCCTATAGCATTGTTTTGAGATTAAGAGTTGAAACAGTTTATGTCCAGGATGCGAGGGGTCTGTAAATATTTTCACAGCCCTCTTTTTGACTCGTGCAGTATACAGGTCCTCCATGGAAGGCAAATTGGTAGCCATTGTTTTTTCTGCAGTTCTAATTATCTTCTGAAGTCTGTGTCTTGCAGAACCAAACCAGACAGTTATAGAAGTGCAGATGACAGACTCAATAGTTCCTTTAATTAAATAATTATTAAATAATTCCAATAATTGACTCAATAAGTCAAGGACTACCTGTATGGTAGGCAGATAAAAGACATGGAGTGACCAAGCTCAGTCTAGACATGGGTCCAGATGTAAGGGTAAATTTAGATCAATGGATAGAAATGTGTATAAGAGAGAATAAAAGGGAGAAAAAGAGAGAGAAGGAGGAAATAAGACAGCAGAAGGACAGAGAGGAAGAGAAAGGGAGTTTTCCCAGTTCATGACTATCGTTGGTCTCCTTCATTTAATCTTCATCAAAGAATCCCAAAGGCGCTTTTTTTTGTTTTTGCTTGAAGATGTTTCGCTTCTCATCCAAAAGAAGCTTCTTCAGTTCAGAACTGGAGAAGCTTCTTAGATGACAAGCGAAATAATCTTCAAGCAAAACCAAGAAAGTCCAGTTGCCTTTTGAAAAAGCACCTTTGGGACAACCATGACCTGGATCAGGGGGTCTCCAACTTTGGCAACTTTACGACTTGTTGTAAAGTCGGCTGAGGAATTCTGGGAGTTGAAGTCCACAAGTTGTAAAGTTGCCAAGGTTGGAGACCCCTGACCTGGATGACTGAGAATCTCCATGGACATTCCCCAGAGCAGTGGTCACCAACCGGTGGTCCATGGACCACTGGTGGTCCGTGAGAAAATTTTGGTGGTCCGCAGAAAAATTATTTGTATTTTTTATATTGCATTAAGTCAGGGGTCCTCAAACTATGGGCCAGATACATGCAATGAATATTTGTGTTGCTGCAGAGAGTCTCCCCCTTTGGAGTCTTTTTGTGCAGGTCGGAGGAGGGCAGAAATTCTGACTTGGGTTCTGCTTCAGCCTCCTGGTGCAGGGCTTTGGGTGAAGGCTGGAAGGAAGTGCCACTGGTGGTGGAGAGCCAGAGGGCCTGGTTCCAGTGGGATGGCATCATGGCCTGGAACTGACTGACCATCTCAGCCTGCTGAGCCTGGTCACTCCTGAAGGTCTTCCCTCCACTTGGAAAACCTAGGCTCATAGTCCTCAGTGAGGTGCTTCTGGTGAGGTCAGATCCAATTTGAACTGAGCCAACTGTTTTGCCAACTCTTTTTCATGGTGGCTACTTAGCTCCAACAACTGCTTCTTGTTGGGGCCCTAAGGAGCCTGGGCTGGCAGGCAAGCAGTGGCTGATAGGGAGGGGTGAGTAGAGACCGTTGAGACCCCCCTCAATGTGAGTGACATTGAGTTGACCATGCCCACCCAGTCCCATGCCCACCTAGCGACGCCCACCCAGTCGGTCATTAGGCAGATCATTTATTTATTTATTTGTTTAAATTTCTATACCGCCCTTCTCCAATGTAGGACTCAGGGCGGTGAACAGCCAAAGTAAAAACAAGACATACATACAAACATACAAAGTCTAAAAACTGTTTAAAATAATTAAATAATTTTGGCCGTAATTAAAACATTCCAATTTAAAATCCATTTAAAATTTGACTCAAGCCAGCCCAGCTAGTTGGAATAAATGGGTTTTCAGGGCCCGACGAAAAATCCGGAGGTCTGTTATTGTACGTAGCTCTGGGGGGAGGTTGTTCCAGAGGGCGGGCGCCGCCACAGAGAAGGCTCTCCCCCTGGGGGTCGCCAGCCGACATTGTCTGGCGGACGGCACCCTGAGGAGGCCCACTCTGTGGGAGCGTACTGGCCGGTGGGAGGCTATTGGTGGCAGAAGGCGGTCTCGTAAGTACCCCGGCCCTAAGCCATGGAGCGCTTTAAAGGTGGTCACCAACACCTTGAAGCGCACCCGGAAGACCACCGGAAGCCAGTGCAGCTCGCGCAGGAGAGGTGTCACGTGGGAGCGCCTCGTCGCCCCCAAAATCCCCCGCGCGGCCGCATTCTGGACCAGCTGGAGCCTCCGGGTGCACCCCAGGGGGAGCCCCATGTAGAGAGCATTGCAGTAGTCCAGGCGGGAAGTGACGAGTGCCTGAGTGACTGTGCGTAGGGAGTCCCGATCTAGAAAGGGGCGCAACTGGCGTATCAGGCGAACCTGATAAAAAGCCCCCCTGGCCACGGCCGCCAAATGATCTTCTAACGACAGCCGTGCGTCCAGGAGGACGCCCAAGTTACGAGCCCTCTCCGTGGGGGCGAGTGATTCGCCTCCAATAGCCAGCGATGGCGTCAGCTGGCTATATCGGGACGCCGGAAGCCACAGCCACTCGGTCTTGGAGGGGTTGAGTTGGAGCCTGTTTCTCCCCATCCAGGCCCGCACGGCCTCCAGGCACTGGGACATCACTTTAAGGGCATCATTGGGGTGGCCTGGGGTGGAGATGTACAGCTGGGTGTCATCAGCGTACTGATGGAACTCCACCCCGAAGCCACGGATGATCTCACCCAGCGGCTTTACATAAATGTTGAACAGAAGGGGCGAGAGGACCGACCCTTGTGGCACCCCACAAGCAAGGTGCCTCGGGGTCGACCGCTGCCCCCCTGTCAACACAGATTGCGACCGGTCAGAGAGGTAGGAGGAGAACCACCGCAAAACGGTGCCTCCCACCCCCAACCCCGCCAACCGGTGCAACATGATACCATGGTCGATGGTATCAAAAGCCGCTGAGAGGTCTAACAGGACCAGGATAGAGGAGCAACCCCTAATATTAGATCATATTAGGACCTGGTTATTTACAGGACCGCCTGCTACCACCAATAGCCTCCCACCGTCCAGTACGCTCCTCCGGGTGCCGTCGGCCAAACAATGTCGACTGGCAGCCCCCAGGGAGAGAGCTTTCTCTGTGGGGGCACCTACTATCTGGAACGAGCTCCCCCCGGAGATACGGAGGATCCCGGATCTGCGTACCTTCCGTCGCGCGCTCAAGACTTTCCTATTTCATCAAGCCAGCCTGACCTAAGTCTTTCCCCTTTTTAAATGGAAATTTTAAATTTGGTTTTAAATTATTGGGGTTTTAAATTTGTTCAGCCAAATTATTTAATTCGTTTTAGTCTATTTTAAATTTTGTATTTATATGTTTTATTCTATGGCTGTTCGCCGCCCTGAGTCCTTCGGGAGTAGGGCGGTATACAAATTCAATAAAATAAATAAATAATAAATAAATAAATATTAGTGGTCCACAGGATTTAAAATTATGAATTCAGTGGTCTCTGAGGTCCGAAAGGTTGGTGACCCCTGCCCCAGAGAATGCACCTGCAACTTCAGGAAATAAAGCTGCTCTTATTAAGAAATTCATGGCCTAGGGTGGGTTGGTCTCAGGCATGGGACTCTTGATAGTGACATTACATTGGTTATGTTTTTTCTGTAGTTACATAAACAGTTCTCATGGCTCATGAAATATTTCCCAGGGCCACAGAAAAATGCCCTGTCTAGCAAGGAGCTGGTGCTTTCCTTTACAAAGAAGGCGATGCAGAAACATAAAGAAGCAAAGCCGGTGAAGGAGCCACAAGATTTCATTGATTTCTACTTGTCACATATGGAGAAAGTAAGTACCAGTTACTTATATATGACATGATGGCAGTGTTCCAGTATCTGAGGGGTTGCCACAAAGAAGAGGGGGTCAACCTATTTTCTGTTGTGACCTAGGCCCAGGTAGTTATTACCAGACACAATCAGTCCTAAACAAACATATTTTCTTAGCTGAGAATTACTTCATTCTCAGCTTAGTACAAATTAAGTCCAAAACAAATCCTTTATAAACAGTCCTTCGGCCTTTGTCTTCTTTGGCACCCTGCCAAAGCCTTTTCTTGGCAAAACCCCACGAAGCTCAGAAGCAAGAGATGCCAACAAGAAACAAATGTAGCAACGTTGCTTTCCTACAAAGATCCCAAGAGCCATTGTTGCTCTTTTAAGCCTTTTGGGAGGGGCCAATCATCTCCTGGCCTTACTCCCGAGTCGTCCTTTTTGCTTTAGCTGCTCTTGCCTTCTGGCAACTCTTCACATGCATGTACTAGGAACAGTTCCTCCTGTTCCTCTGCCTCTCTGCTATCTGCCTCTGGAGGCTCCAGAGTCTGTGCATCGCTCCCAGATGGCCCTGGCCCCATCTCTGCCTCCAATGCAGAGCCCCCGTCCAGGCCTTCCCCTAACTCTAGGACTGGCCCATTGTCCTCCCCAGCCTACTCACTGTCCGACTCTGCTACCAGCTCCACAGGCTGCTGGCGGACCACAACATTTTCCAAAGTCCGAGAAAGCAATACAAGAAGCAATGGATGGAAACTAATCAAGGAGAAAAACAACCTAGAACTAAGGAGAAATTTCCTGACGGTGAGAACAATTAGTCAGTGGAATGGCTTGCCTTCAGAAGTTGCGGGTTCTCCATCATTGGAGGCCTTTAAATAGAGATTGGACAGCTGTTTGTCTGAAATGGTATAGGGTTTCCTGCTTGAGCAGGGGATTGGATTAGAAGACTCCAAGGTCCCTTAGGACGAGGATGAAATGATAGTGGTTCCAATCTCTAAGGTGTTGCCAAAAAGAAGAGAGTGTCAAGCTATTCTCCAAAGCACCAGAAGGCAGGACAAGCATTTCTTCTCTGGGCTCAGCTGCCTCTTATCTGATTGTTCCCTGATTGTGACTCTTTCCCCTGTCTCCTAAGGCAGGGGTGAAATTCAGCCGGTTCTATCCTGCTCTGGCGAACCGGTAGTAGCGGCTGTGGGAGGCTCTGCTCTCCTGCGCAGAGATCATGATGTTGCTTTTTTGCGATGATTTTTAAGCCTCTGTGCATGTGCAGAAGGCTTTGTGCATGTGCGATGCGGATGCATGCGAGTGAAGCGAGCGTACACATGGCGCCCGCACATTTGTGAACTGGTAGGAAAGGTAAGTGAATTTCACCCCTGTCCCAAGGTCATTCTCACATATCATTGCAGTGCTCTCTGTCAAATTCAGGGGAGCTGTAATCATAGGATATCTAGATTATAGGTGCTTCATCCAAAGTTTCTGCCACTAATTGGCTCCTGGGCTATGTCGTAACTATGACACGATAGATAAGGATTTAATGTTACAGCCCAGGATCCATTTTGTAAGATATGAAGAAGCACTTGGAGGAGGAGAAGAAAGCTGGTCAACAGAAAAAGGAAGAATGGAAGAATCTGGATATAATGCTCCTGTCCTCCTCTATGAAATAACCTAGGAACTGAGGGGTCCCTAGCCAAAGATAGTTAAATCACATTGGGCAAGTATGAATAACTACATCCACACTGCCCTGATGTCAGCGTTGCAACGCTGGCATAGAGAGAGCAGAGGAGAGCGAAAGATAAACTCTGAAACTTTTGCCTGCAAAATCCCTTTGAAGCTTGATTGTCGTGGAAATCAGGGGAGGGGGCACATTCCTGAGAAATGACAAGGAAAAGAAGTCTGAAGAATGACTTGGAAGACAGCCAATGAGAAGCAGAGAGTTGGGGATCGGAAAGGGAGGGATTGGGAGGCAAAAGGTCAGTCTTGTCCGCACGGAGTCATGATCCGGTGGCTGAGCTCAATTAAAGAAAGATTTCCTTAAAGATTGGCAGTTTGGAAATTCATTTAATTTTGAGATAGCACCGCAGTCTGACACCTAGATTTGAAAAGAAGAGAGTCAAGAAAAAACTGTTAATCAACAAACGACAAGAACCATGCTCTTCTATCAGACCAGTTAACCCTTAGGCAGGCTGACACATCTGATCTGAGATCTGAGAAATATTTTTCTAAACTCATAAAATGTTTGCAAAGATCATAGTTCCAACAGAAGAGCAAATCTCTATAGCTCAGGGTTGAACAACTTAGATGAGGGAATAGAAGGGGAACTTACAAATTTTCAGATGATACTAAGCTGGCAGGAATAGCCAACACCCTAGATCTGTGATGGCGAACCTATGGCACGCATGCCACAGGTGGCACGCGGAGCCATATTAGTGGGCACGCCAGCTCAGCTCTGGGGTGCATGAGCGTGCTGGCCAGCTGATTTTCGGGCCTTCTGGGCCCACCAGAAGTAGGGAAACAGGCTGTTTCCTGCCTCTGGAGGGCCTGGGGGCGGGGTGGGGAAGGCCCGTTTTTCTTTCTTACCTGGCTCCAGATCCTCTCTGTGTATTTGGGAAGGGCGAAAACAGCCTTTCCCACTCCCTTGGAGGCCCTACGGAGGCTGAAAGGGCCCATTTCCCGACTCCCGGTGGGACAGGAGGTGATGTTTTTTCCTGTCCCCAGCCTCCAGAGACTCCTAGAGAGACTCCTAGAGACTCCTAGAGAGGTTCTGGAGGCTGGGGACAGCAAAAAATGTCACTTCCTTCAGACTCCTAGAGAGGCTCCTAGAGACTCCTAGAGAGGTTCTGGAGGCTGGGGACAGCAAAAAATGTCACTTCCTGTCCCACCGGGAGTCGGGAAATGGGCCCTTTCAGCCTCCGTAGGGCCTCCAAGGGAGTGGGAAAGGCTGTTTTTGCCCTTCCCAGATACACAGAGAGGATCTGGAACCAGGTAAGAAAGAAAAACGGGCCTACCAGGCCATCATATGCCAGGAGCGGGGGGGGGGAGGCGGGAGGGAGTTGCGCACGCATGCACGTGGGCACATGACCGCGCGACCCTTCCCCCCCTTTCCTGGCATGCGATGGCAAAAAGGTTAGCCATCACTGCCCTAGATGACAGGCTCAAGATCCAGATGGATCTTGACAGACTTGAATACTGGGACCTATTTAACAAAATGAAATTCAATGTAGAGAAAAGTAAAGTCTTACACTTAGGCAACAAAAATCAAAAGTACACATATAGACTGGGTGAAACCAGGCTTAATAGCAATAACTGTGAGAGGGATCGTGGAGTCTTAGTGGACAACCAGTTAGATATGAGCCAGCAGTGGGCAGCGGCAGTCAAAAAAGCCAACACAATCTTAAATTGCATTAACAGAGGGATACAACCAAGATCAAGTGGGGTACTAATACCACTTTATAAAGCCTTAGTAAGACCACACATAGAATACTGCATCCAGTTTTGGTCACCACACTATAAAAAAAATGTTGAAACTCTAGAAAAACTGCAGAGAAGAGCAACCAGGATGATTAGGGGACTGGAGATTAAAACATATGAAGAACGGTTGCAGGAACTGGGCATGGCTAGTCTAGTGAAGAGAAGGACCAGGGGAGACATGATAGCAGTCTTCCAATATTTGAGGTGCTGCTACAGAGAGGATGGGGTCAAGCTATTTTCCAAGGCACCTGAAGGCCAGACAAGGAGTAATGGATGAAAACTGACCAAGGAGAGATTCAATCAAGCAATAAAGAGAAATTTTGTGACTGTGAGAACAATCAACCAATGGAACAGAAGTTGCCTTCGGAAGTTATGGGAGCTTCATTACTCAAGGCTTTCAAGAACAGATTGGACTGCCATCTGTCAGAAATGGTGTAGGATCTCCTGCTTGGGTCGGGAGTTGTACTAGATGACCTACAAGGTCCCTTCCAACTCTGTTAATTTGTAATCTGAATTGTGGAATCCTTGGCGATGATCTGTCCCCGTACCCACACACACACACACACAGCCAGTCGAGGGTTAAGGAAACACTTTGGAACGCACCCAGTTCTTATCTCCCACTTGGCAGCGATAGACACACCGTCTGCCAAGTGACTTTATTTTCAAAGTAAACCAGAAAGACAAAATACTCAAGAGTCCAAATGTCCGACACTTTAAATCTTTCTCTCAGCAGCTCCGGACGAGGCTTTAGTGACTATCCAAGGTTTGCTTTGTTCGTCACAAGGATCCTTTGACCACTACCCTCTATTATATAGTCTCTGGGGTGTGGTCCAGTAACTCAGTTCTAATCCCTAGCACGCCTCCTAAACTGCTGCAAACGTTTATCACGCCTTCGGAGGCGTGCGTCCAGGAATGATGTTTCCTCATCACTCTGATTTGAATCAGCTGTCTCTTCTCCCTCGGCCGGCACTTGAGACAATGCCAGAGGGGAGGGGCCTGGAGAGGGAGGCCTGGCTGACTCCTCTTCCTCATGCTCGGAGCTTTCTTCCTCCGATGGGACAGGCTCAGAGGGCGGGGCCACAACAGGTGCTCTTTGAGTTTGGTTATTGGCTTGCTGATGTTTTATGACGTTACCTAGTTGGGTAACTAGGTTACCCAACTAGGTAACTTTTAAATGACATTTTCTTTTCTTTTGCCCCAAACAGAATAAAGGTGGCCAGAATTCTACCTACAATGAAGAGAACCTGGCTGAATGTATTTTCAACTTCCTTCTCTCGGCTGCAGAATCAACTGCAATCACTCTCCAGTGGGCACTGCTGCTGATGGCGTCTCATCCAGATGTTCAAGGTGAGAAAGGGGTAGGCCACAGGAAGAAGATTGTTGCTGATCCCAGGTAGATCAGAGGGGAGGGATTTCATTTTAACACAGCACCAGTGGTGAAATGTAAAATTTGTTACTACCGGTTCTGTGGGTGTGGTGGTGGGGTAATATGACTGAGTGGGCGTGGCCAACTTTTTCTTTTTTTTAACTTTTAAAACCATTTTTTTCTACAACCTCTTCGGCTGAAGTGGTTGTAAAAAAAATGCTTTGAAAAGCCTCTGACGATCCCAGCTGAGTTGCCTGATCGGCAGAGGCTTTCTTTCTTTTTCTTAAAAAGCCTCTGAGACTTGCCTGATCGGCAGAGGCTTTTTCTCCTTTTAAAAACATTTTTTCTATAACCTCTTCGGCTGAAGAGGTTGTAGAAAAAATGCTTTTAAAAGCCTCTGATGACCCCAGCTGAGCCGCACGATCATCAGAGGCTTTTTTTAAAAAATTTTTAAAAGCATTTTTTTGGCCAAAGAGGTTTTAGAAAAAATGCTTTTAAAAATATATTAAAAAAGCCTCTGATGATTGCGCGGCTCAGCTGGGTAATGGTGGTGGTGGGGGGGGCAGGAATTTTTGTTACCAGTTCTCCGAACTACCCGCCTCCATCGCTACCGGATCAGGTGATCCGATCCGAACCGGGAGCATTTCATCCCTGCACAGCACCCAACGCTGGCGAAATCTCTCCCTCTTAAAAAGAAAATAATAATGAAAGAAGGAAACCATTGTTTTAAATAGTGCTTGAGCTGGGCTTGGCAGCTTAAAACTTCTCAGGAAGTTGCAGTGAGTGAAAATGTATAATTTGCTCCCAGCAGCATTCTTGGCGGGAGGAGTGGCATTTGATGAGAACATAATTGCTCTGGTACAGTGGTGAAATCCATTTTTTTTTACTACCGGTTGTCAGGTTTCAGTGTCATCTCAAAATAAATTGCATTTCCAAACAAAGTCTTTGATGAAATCTTTCATTTATTAAGCACGACAATCTGTCCCCGATTATATCGTAGCCAACACTGACTCCCTGACCCCAAACCTTCCCTTTCCATTCCCCAATTCTCTGCGTCTCATTGCCCATCTTCCAAATCACTCTCCCCATATCTACTACTTCAGCTCCCAGGAATGTCCCCCCTCCCATCTCATCTCCTAGGAGATATTATCTTCAGGAAAAATAAGTAGGTGAAAAGTCAAGCGTCCTCTTGCCAGCTGCCCCCCTCTTCTCCTCCTTATATCAGCACTGGAACAAATGTAGTTTGGAGTGCTGACACCGGTTCTGTGGGCGTGGCTTGGCTTGGTGGGCGTGGCAGGGGAAGGATACTGCAAAATCTCTATTCCCACCCCACTCCAGGGGAAGGTTACTGCAAAATCCACATTTCCTTCCCACTCCTCGAGGAAAGATATTGCAAAATCTTCATTCCCACCCCACTTTGGGGCCAGCCAGAGGTGGTATTTGCCGGTTCTCCAAACTGCTCAAAATTTCCGCTACTGGTTCTCCAGAACCTGTCAGAACCTGCTGGATTTCACCCCTGCTCTGGTAGCTTCTGAAGAGTCGTTCCTGGAGCGATTTTACAAAATAAACCTGAGTAAAATGTGTATTAGGCATAGACAAGCTGCAACTTGGAGGAATTATTTAGCTTTTTTTTTTTGTCACCTTCACTGACATTGCTCTGTGAGGTTTTTTGTCATGTTCACTGACATTGCTCTGTGAGGTTCTTTCAGTCCAACCTTCACAGGGTTGTTGTTATGGGGAGAAGCATGCCTTACTTTGCAAATGTGACATAAGAACAAGCATTTCTCCAAGTGAAATGTTCTCCTCCCTTTCATTTTTTTCAGATAAAGTCCATAAGGAGATAGAAAAGGTTTTGGGTTCTTCAAATGCTGTTGGCCATCAAGACTGGAAGAAACTACCTTATACCAGTGCTGTGATTCATGAGATCCAGCGAACCAAACATGCATTCTTATTCAGAATCATCAAACAATGTGCAAAGGATGTGAATATCTTTGGTTTTCTTGCTCCCAAGGTATAGAAGAATGGTGATATATCGATGAGTAAATGAGTGACTGAATAAATGAATGAATACATGGCTCCTATATATTCTGCCGGTGACTCTGTAGTGGTCCCTGCCCTGTGAAACATTCCTTCCCCAAGATCCAGTAGGCCCCTATCCTTCTAGCCTTCTTGAAGGCCTTAAAAAGTTGGCTCGTTCCACAATCATTGAGGTAGGGCAAACAAAAATGAACGTCGAAGGATGGAGGAGTGTTTGCCTTTGGGATGTTGGAAGTTTTTGTTGTAATTTTATGGGTTTTGATCTTAATTTGCAAGATTATGGCATGTAAAACGGGTGACAATCAAGGTATTTTAAGTAAATAACTATTCATAGCCGCTATTGCATCAGTAATGAGATTCATGTCAAGAAGAAACAGCGATACTTTTCAAAGACTTTCTAAAATAGTTCATGAACAGCTGCTGATTTCTTCTTTTCATAGAATCCTAGAGTTGTAAAGTATCATAGGTTAACTACCGACATCTAATCGAAGCCCTTCTCAGTGCAACATTCATAGAAGCATCTCAGATAGATGATCCTCAAACTTCGTTTGAAGACTTCCAGTGAAGCTATACTGAAATTTCCATGTAGCTTCTTTTTTTCTTTTCAACAGTGGCTAACTATAGCTTGTGGGTTTCTTGAGGATTAAAACAAAACAAAACAGGAAGAGTATATCATTACTTTATACCGTGTTTCCCCGAAAATAAGACATCCCCTGATAATAAGCCGAATCGGGCTTTTGAGCGCATGCGCTAAAACAAGCCCCCCCTGAAAATAAACCCTCCCCAAAATTATTTAAATGCATGTGCAGCCGGTCCCCACCATTCTCTCTGGTTAGGGTTAGGGAGACAGAGCTGGAAATCAGGTAAGATGGCAAGAGGAGTCCCCTTTTGCTCCACGTGCCCCAAAATAATACGACCTCCCCAAAAATAAGGCCAAGTATTAGAGTTAGGGTTAGGGTTAGGTTCAAAAAAATATAAGACAGGGTCTTATTTTTTGAGAAACACGGTACATGATGCTAGCACTGATGATGTTACCTAATTAGGGTAATGAGACGTCTGCAAGAAAACAAGCAAACTCAGAGAGCACCAAAACCCCCCTACATCAGTGTTTCTCAATCTTGGAAGCTTGAAGATGGGTGGACTTCAACTCCCAGAATCCCCCAGCCAGCAGTACTGGCTGGGGGATTCTGGGAGTTGAAGTCCATCCATCTTCAAGCTACCAAGGTTGAGAAACACTGTCCTACATTATACAGTACATGTTCAGAATGAGTTTTTGCTAGCTCTGTTTTATAAGAGACACCACATATTGATCTAAATCCAGATGTGCCACAGAAATACACTATGATTAGTTTCAAATTGATGAAGTTTGCACACATTGTGTGAAAAGTGCTCAAAAACTGGTCCTGGGAAAGTGAGGCAGTAATTTGAAACGGGATAATTTGGATGCTTTGAGTCAACTTTTTTTTAAAATTACTTCCAGGGAACTTTCATTAACCCGGATCTGAATTCAGTATTACTTGATCCCAAACTATGGGAGACACCTGAAAAATTCAACCCAAGTCATTTTTTGGACAAGGATGGAGAATTTGTTGCCAAAAAAGAATTTCAACTCCTTGCTGGTGGTAAATATAAAAGTGATTTATTGTCATATAGACAATGTGATTTTTATTTTAAACTAGCTGATAACCCGGCGTTGCCCAGGAATTTATTTATCCCAATCCTGTATTAGGATTTTCCCCCTTACCAGAGGGAGCCCCCTTGTGGGGTACTGTGAAACTGTTACCATGGCAACCCCACTGTGCTGCACAGTAGAAGCCATTTTAAGGCAGTAAGTAGAAGTCATTTTAAAGCACAACAGGCTGTATCTTAACAGAACACCCCCCCCCCCCAAGGATGTTAGGGGTATCTTAACCCCACAGTATTTCTTTCCAGAGAGTAAGTCATCTGTATACCAAGTTTGGTTGAAATTGCTCAAGGCATTCCAGAGTTATGCTGGAACACATATATATATATTTACACACACAGCCATTTATATATATATTTCTGGTGCCAATTGTATTGTAAGTTGAGGACTATCTGTGTTGCATGAAGTTATACAATAGATCAATTCAAGAATAAACTTAAGCATGTTGAGAGAATGAAAATGGTCTTCATATACTAAGAACAAATGACTTATGACATGTCACAGCCAGTTCCTGGAGCAATGCCAGATGATACGATAAAAGATTCTCAATATTATCATGAATTGTTGTTTCATGATTATTTTGTAATTATTCTTCCCATTTCCTCCACAGAGTCAGAAGGGTCTTTAGAGGATAAATTAGCAAGAGTGGAGTCCTTTACCTTCTTTATAAATCTGCTCAAGACATTCGTCTTCAAGTTACCAGAAGGAGAGAACAAAACCAGCGAACAACCTAGAATTGGGTTGACAACGTGTCCTCATTCTTATAAAATCTGTGCTGTTCCTCACCACAAGAAATCCTAAATTCTAATTATCAATAGCACACTTCGATTTTACAATAGCATTGTTCAATCTCAACTTGCTCAATTCAATCTTGAGTAGAAATTCACATAACGAGTTGCCTCTTTGACGGATTGGATTGCTGAGTCTGTGATGATTGCCTGACACATTCTTCTTTGTTTGACATTACTAAATTAATGTACAATATTTGGTTCTTTGCAGTGCATAGCACTTTTGGATTACTGTATTTTTCGGAGTATAAAATGAACCGGAGTATAAGACGCACCTACCTTTTTTGGTGAGGAAAAGAAGAAAAAAAAATCTCCCTCTGCCTTTGAGCAATTTTGCCTCGTTGCAGCAAACAGCAAACAGCCTGCTTTAGTTTCAGTTTCGTTTTCAGCATAGCTTGATTAGCACAAGGGAAAAAAAATCTGCTCCAGCAATTTAACTCTTTGCAGCAAGCAGCAGAGGCCCGTGCAAAACAGCTGAGAGCAAATCAGCTGAGAGTCGGAAGGCCGATCCAATCAACTTGTGCTAATTAGGCTGTGCTGAAGCTGAAAGGAGCTGTTTTTTCTTGCTGTTTGCTTGCAAGGAGATAACTGCTGCGAGGCAGAGGCCAAAGGGTGGGGGCCAGTGGGTGGGCGGGGATACATTTGGTGTATAAGATGCACCTAAATTTTCACCCCCTTTTAGGGGGGAAAAAGGTGGGTCTTATTCTCTGAAAAATATGGTATGTGCCATGAAGTCATTTTTAATTCGAGTGACCATCATAAATGTAGATTTTCTCCATGATAATGTATCCCTAGTCTGTTCTTTCAGGTATCCATTGGTGCACTCATCGTATTGTAATACATAACAATAAATTCTCTTTGTGTCTTTGAAAAAAATCTTGAGGGTTTTTATTAAATAAAGTAGCATTCAGGATATGTTACGTTCTCTTTTACGAGTTGATTAGTAGATCACATTGAGCGTTACATGTTAAGAGCAATCTATTATTCAGAAAATGTCTATGCCATGCAGACCAGAGGTATTCAGCAGGTTCTGACCAGTTCTAGAGAACTGGTAGCGGAAATTTTGAGTAGTTCGCAGAACCGGTAAATACCACCTCTGATTGGCCTCACCCCAATCTATTCTCTGCCTCCTGAGTCCCAGCTGATTGGGAGGAAATGGGGATTTTGCAGTAACCTTCCCCTAGAGTGGGGAAGAAATGGAGATTTTACAGTATCCTTTCCCTGGAATGGGGTGGGAATGGAGATTTTACAGTAACCCCACCATTGATGCACACCCTCAATTGCGGTGCGCACCTTACAAAAATACAATAAAAATACAGTAATAACAATAATGCCAACTAGAGTTGCAGAACTTTGGAAATAATTAGAAAAGGCATCTCCAAGGATGAGGAAAGGGGAAAAACACTGTTTTGTTTTTAACACAGTGCATAATTAAGCCTCGGGATTCATCACAATTCACTTTACTATGTGTTGACAGCTGTAAATGTTATGGAAAAAAAATATATTAAGTATGGAGAAAGAGGACAGAGACTGAAATACAAACAAGCAAAGAATCATTGCAATGCTTCTGAGGAAACAGGCATAAAACAAGATATCTAATACAACACAGCTAGTTTGGAATAGTGGTTAAGGTGAAGGCTAAGAAACCAGACGACTGTGAGTTCTAGTCCTGCCTTAGGCATGAAAACTGGCTGAGTGACTTTTGGCTTAAAGAGCCTTGGTAATACAGTGGTCTAAAGCACCCTGTTATTAAGACCAGCTGCCTGCAATTACTGCAGGTTTGAATCTCGCCAGGCTCAAGGTTGACTCAGCCTTCCATCCTTTCTAAGGTAGGTAAATTGAGGACCCAGTTTGTGGGGGCAATAAGCTGACCTTGTATAAATATACAAAAGGATGAAGGCTATTGCTTAGCGCATTGTAAGCCGCCCTGAGTCTCCGGAGAAGGGCGGCATATAAATCAAATAAAAATAAATAAAAAATAAAATAGAAGGAGGATAGAGTATTTAGGTATCTTCGTCACCTTGAATTATTTATAAAAACAATAAAGCCAGGATTTTTTAAAAAAATCTAAAAGTAAAAGTAGGAGAACACAACAATATAAGTATAAAATATAAAAATAGGAGAACACAACAATATAAAGAAAGAGGAAAATGTAAACATGCATTATATTTTGGTCATGAGGAAAAGAGCTGAATAGCTTTTGTCAGTTTAATACAATCCCAGAAATAAGGTCTAAATCAGAGGTGGGTTTCAGCAGGTTCTGACCAGTTCTAGAGAACCGGTAGCGGAAATTTTGAGTAGTTTGGAGAACCGGTAGTAAAAATTATGACTGGCCCCACCCCCATCTATTCTCTGCCTCCCAAGTCCCAGCTGATCAGGTGGAAATGGGGATTTGCAGTATCCTTCCCCTAGAGTGGGGTGGGAATGGAGATTTTACAGTATCCTTCCACTGCCATGCCCACCAAGCCACGCCCACTAAACCGGTAGTAAAAAAAATTGAAACCCTCCACTGGTCTAAATATACGTCTGTAAAATGAAAAGAGAAGCATCCAACTTCATTTCTAATAGAGGGAACTTAATTTTGTGTAATAAAATGGAGAGAGACTTGTGAGGTCTCATTGGGTCTGGGGTCCATCCAGTCTTTTTTGACTCAAGAAACCCACCGCAGTGATGGTGAACATAGCAGTTGGCCCGCCTCCCCACTTTTCGCAAGGCGGCCATATTTGTTTTCTATGAAAGACCTGAGGAAGAAGAAGACACATAGGTTTTTCACAAGCCAGCATGCTTTCTTAAAACACGAAAGATATAAATATAAAATACAAGGCAGAGGAAAACAAGAAGAAAACATTTAAAATTCAGAATTGAAAAGGCAGGGGAGCACTTTCCAGGCTTTAGCCAAACTCCATGGCTGCAATGTACCTCAGCAAGCCCAAAATGATTCAGCAGAGCCAAGTCGTCAAACGTTTCCTAAAAGCCAGGAGAGTGGAGTCCTGCCTCATCTCTGGGGGAGGAAAAATGTTTTATTTATTTTTATTTATTTTACCAATCAAATTTCGGAACTGTCCATGGGTGGCGGGCAGTTTATTAAATTAATTTTATTAAATTTAATCATTTAATTATTAAATTAATTTTATTAAATTTAATCATTTAATTAATTAAATAAATATATTAAATTAATATTTTAATCAAATATTAAAACAAAAACAATATATGAACGTTAAAATTTAAAAAGAGGCTAGGATGATTAAAAACAAAGTTCAGAATTAAGGCAAAAGGAGGGCTTTGAGGACGGACATATTTAAGTTTTTAGCTGTAGTCCTGGCTTTATTTTTATCTAACCTTTTTACCTTAATACTTTATTATTTGTTTGTTTGTTTTGATTTTGTTTCTTTTCTTTTATTTGTTTGCCACTCCTCTTGCCTCAAGGCGACTCTGGGTATTCGCAACATTTAAAGCCATAAAATTATATATATACATATGCATATGCATATGCATATGCATATGTATATGTATATATCATAATATAATATAATATAATATGATATGATATGATATGATATAATAATATAATATAATATAATATAATATAATATAATATAATATAATATAATATAATATAATATAATATAATATAATATAATATAATATAATATATTTTGGTGCTCTCTCACTATATGTTGAATAGTTTGTTTTTTGGCCCTGCAGTCACAATATGCTGGTAGTATTTTGCCTCTCTTATAGAGGGCATCAGCACATCTACCGTAGCAAATTCCATTCCGTGTTGTCCGTATCACGCAGGGGTTACAACAATACATTTATCCCAAAGGTGCTTTTTCAGGAGGTAACTGGACTTTGTTTTTTTTCTTTGAAGACATTTCGCTTCTCATCCAAGAAGCTTCTTCATCTCTGATAGGATAGTGGGGAATGGAAGGATTTATATTCCTTGCAGACAGCTGGTCATTTGCATCCTTTTAGAGCAGGGGTCTGCAACCTTAAATACTCAAAGAGCCATTTGGACCCGTTTCCACAGAAAAGAAAACACCGGGAGCCACAAAACCTGGGTGGGCGTGGCCAACCCGCCCTGCCTACCTAGCTGATCATTAGGGCAGAGAACCAATTGTTAAAAACACCAGGAACCACAAAATCCTTTTGACATCTCTCTCTCTCCTCCTCCCTCCCTCTCCCCCCTCCTCTCTCTCTGTATCTCTTTATGTCTCTCTCTCTCTCTCCCCCTCTCTGCGCATCTCTCTGTCTCTGCCTTGGCTGCTTCTCCATCCCCCGCTGTCGCCCTTACCTTCTCAGGCCAGGCGAGGAGTGACTGGGAGGGGAGGCCCAGCCTGTGGTGGGATCACCTGACAAGGAGCCACAGTAGAGGGTCCAAAGAGCCGCATGTGGCTCCAGAGCCACAGGTTGCTAACCCCTGTTTTAGAGGGTTGTTGAAACACAAACATATAGGTTTATCTGTATCCTCAGGGTCATCTGAGTAGTGCTCCTGGTTTATTTATAAATCCCCAACTATCCTGTCAGAGCTGAAAAAGCTCCTTGGATGAGAAGCAAAACGTTGTCAAAGAAAAAAACCAAGAAAGTCCAGTTGCCTCCAGAAAAAGCACTTTTGGGACAACCATGACCTGGATGACTGAGAATCTCTACAGACTTTTAACAATAAATTTACTCACTCACTCTACTGAGAGTCTGTCCAGAAAACAGGCACTGCAAGTAAGGAACAGTCCATCCTTATTTCAATATCTTTTAATTTCTGGAAAGTGAGATACTACAAGACATTTTCTTCTGCTGACCCTAATAAATTGAAATAATCCTGGTTGTAGCAGGCAATTCTACGAGCATAAGACATTCAAGTCAGTGGTGGAATTCGAAGTTTTTTTACTACTGGTTCTGGTGAGCGTGGCTTGGTGAGCGTGGCAGGGGAAGGATACTGTAAAATCCCCATTCCTTCCCCACTCCCGGGGCCAGCCAGAGGTGGTATTTGCCGGTTCTCTGAACTACACAAAATTTCCACTACCAGTTCTTCAGAACCTATCAGAACCTGCTGAATAGCACCCCTGATTCAAGTACAAAGGGTTTTAGAGGTCAAAACCATCTCTTCAGATTACATCCAGAAAATAAGTGGCAGTCAGTTCAGGGCCTGTTGCAGTGGTGGGTTTCAAAATTTTTTACTACCGGTTCTGTGGGTGTGGCTTGGTGGGCGTGGCATGGCTTGGTGGGTGTGGCTTGTTGGGCATGGCAGGGGAAGGATACTGTAAGATCTCCATTCCCACCCAACTCCAGGGGAAGGATACTGTAAAATCCCCATTTCCTCCTGATCAGCTGGGATTTGGGAGGCAGAGAATAGATGGGGGTGGGGCCAGTCAGAATTTTTACTACTGGTTCTCCAGAACTGGTCAGAAACTGCTGAATCCCAACTCTGGCAGGTACAGTTAGCATATGGGCCAGTGTTTTAGACTAACTGCTATTTAAGTGGTTGTAAAGGCAGCCAATGTATTTGTATTTTGATGTATTTTGACTCATAATCCCAAAATTTAAGAAAGACTCTCGGTTGGATGCTTTATAAATTAGCACACATACTTTACCAAGATGATTTGCAAAGAAAATGCTTCTCTTTTCTCTTTGAAAGGCAAATGATTAAAAAGTGTAATTTTAAGAAATGTTACCTTTTGTTCTGGCTGAGGCCAAGAGAAGAAATGTATTACAAATTGAAAAAAAGATACTAAGGGTAAATTGAAATGAATATGCTTTATTGGCATCCGAAAGAAAACAAAGGCAAAACTAAACAAGCTTATTTAGCACATTGTTCAGCCACAACTTCCAGATCTTTTGTTGATCTGGTTAAGTATGTTATGTGAACCTAGCAATAGGTTGAAGATGTGTAGAGTAAATGGAGGCAGAAGCTC